TCAGGCTTTTTGGAATCAACATCTAGAACCTTGTGTAATCCTTGTTGGATGAGCAGATCTCTCATCCTTCTTTGCCATGTTGAGAAACCGTTATCTCCGTTGAATTTTGCTACCTCGTACTTTACTCCAGACATTTTTATTTTTCACCAAGTATAGTACTACCGACAGTGAATAGTATTTCAGTGAACGAGCAGAACCTGTGCTCTGATACCAGTTGTTGGGAATAAACCCCCTACTAAAATAATATTCACGGTAATAAAAGCGGAATAATAATGTAGCACCGAGATACGGTAATTAACAAGAATAAAAGAGTAACAATGACACCAAGATTTTTACGTGGAAAACCCTTCTGAATAAGGGAAAAACCACGATCCCGAGAGGAGCAACTGATATCACTATAGTAAGGAATTTACACTTTGTAGGCCCGAGTAAAATACTACAAAGACCACTATAATACTCAAAAGAAATAACCCTTTTTTGATATTTCACCCCACTACAATATCGCTCACACTCTCTATTTTCTTCACAGACTATTTTCTTATATCTTGTTTGTGAAACCTCACTCTTTCTTTCTAGCTCTCAGATATATTTTCCTCTGAGATTGATGATGATAAAAATGAGAACCGAAGCTCTCATTTTATAGGCAGAATACAACCTACCTCATTTGATATTACAGGTTCTGCAGACTGCTTAATTTGACAAAGAAATCGAACGTGGGCTGCTTAGCAGCCATATTTGACAAAAGTTAACAAAGGAAGAGAATTCTTCCATAATTCAAGGGCTGGACCCCACAAGAACCTATAGATGCCAGATTGAGTTCTTCATTTGTTCCTGATATAAATATTCTCAACTCCGATCCTTATATTTAATCCAGTAAAGAAGCAACAAAAATCTTATAGTTTACTAAAAGAAGAAATTCTTTATCTCATATTTAATCCATCAAGATGACTACCTGATAGTTATGCTGTGGCCTTTTTATCAAATTAACCTTTAGCTCACTCATGTAGCCATCTATTGATTTTGCATTTTTAGGTTCTATGTGCTGGAAAGGATCTTGCTACAAAAGAAACAACAAAACGAATGATTAATCTGTTGAGGAATCTTCAGAGAACACTACCAGCAGTCACTTGGGCGTCAGCTTGGTCATTGCTATTGCCTCAGCAGGAGATGGAAATGAAGTCCATTCTATCACCTAAGGGAGATGCTAACTTGTCATCATTGCAATGAAACTATGATTTTTGCGACTCCATGTCGTTCAAATATTATGTAGCTCAATTTTCTCCTAAAAATATAGGTGTGTCACAAAGTATGAAAGCCTCGAGCTAAAGGTGAAACCTTTTCTTTGCATTTTTTGTTATCTATAATGTGAATCTTAAGACTGTTGAAGTTGACCTGTGCTTCAATACAGAAATAGGAGCATGGACAATTGTGGTACACCAGACAACCTATTAGACAAATGTATAAGGTTTCAGGGTATATTCTGGTTACTGACTCTTGCAGAAGTTTTGATCTAATACTTTTGTTGTTTACATAGTTGATTGTCATGCACGCATTACAGATTAAATGGTTGTCTTTTTTATTGCTTTGTTTCTTATCTTTTTATTCCATGGATTGTTTTAATTTGATTTAGGCAGTGCAATCTTGAGAAAACTCTTCTAAATATTCCTTTATGTTATAAAATAAAAGCAATTTAGTAAAACATGAACAAGAAATATAGATAGAGAGAAAGAAGAGATTTTCTTCTTCAATTGTGTGTATCTTTCTATTGCAATTACATAGCCTTTTATAGGCATAAAGAGAAAAGATGATGGACATAAAGTAGTAGATTTAATCTTTAAGCTATTCACAACATGGACATCCAATGTAGCATTCAATGTACAAACTATTCATAACACTCCCCCTTGGATGTCCATGTAAGATAATATGTTTCATTAAGAACTTAAAAAAAATATTGGGATATACATAGTTATTTATAATAAGCATTGCTTGCTACCTCATTAAAAACCTTACCAGGAAAACCCAGTGGGACAAAACCTTGGTTAAGGAAAAGAGTGCAGCGTGTAGTTACTCCCCCTGATGAAAAATCACTTAATGTCTCGAAGACGACGCATTTCAATCTTATATATCAGCTTTTCAAATATTGAGGTTGGTAATGCCTTAGTGAACAGATCAGTCAAATTATCACTTGAACGAACTTGTTGTACATCTATTTCACCATTCTTCTGAAGATCATGAGTGGGAAAAATAATTCGGTGAAATGTGTTTTGTTCTATCTCCTTTGATATATCATCCTTTCAATTGAGCTATGCATGCAGTATTGTCTTCATACAATATTGTTGGAATATTCTCTTTCGAAGAAAGACCACATGTTTGTTGAATGTGTTGAGTTATCAATCTTAACCAAACGCATTCTCAACTTCCTTCGTGAATGGCTATTATCTCTGCATGATTTGAAGAAGTAGCAACCATAGTTTGTTTTGTCGAACGCCATGATATGGCTGTACCTCCACTTGTAAATAAATAGCCTGTCTGAGATCGACCTTTGTGTGGATCAGACAAATATCCTGCATCTGCATAACCAATCAATGATGGCTTGGATTCATTTGAATAAAATAAACCCATATCAATGGTCCCTTGGAGGTATCTGAATATATGTTTAATACCATTCCAGTGTCTTTGTGTTGGCGAAGTACTAAATCTTGCCAATAAGCTTACTGAGAAAGCTATATCTGGTAGGGAATTATTAGCAAGATACATTAATGCCCCAATTGCACCAAGATATGGTACTTCGGCACCAAGAAGCTCTTTATCATTTTCATGAGGTCGGAATGGATCTTTCTTTATATCAAGTGATCTCACAACCATCGGGGTACTCAATGGATGTGCTTTATCCATATAGAATCGCTTTAAAATCTTTTCGGTGTATGTTGATTGATGGACAAATATTCCATCTTTCATATACTCAATTTGTAGACCAAGACAAAATTTTGTCTTTCCAAGATCTTTCATTTCAAATTCTTTCTTCAAACAGTCTACTGTTTTTGGAAGCTCCCCAGGAGTTCCAATGATATTTAAATCATCAACATACACGGCGATTATAACAAATTCAGATCCAGACCTTTTTATAAAGACACAAGGACAAATTGGATCATTCTTGTACCCTTCTTTCAACAGGTATTCACTCAGGCGATTGTACCACATACGACCTGATTGTTTCAATCCGTATAAGATTTCTGAAGCTTTATTGAACAAGTTTCTCGAAAACTTTTATATGCTTCTGAACAATTTAAATCCTTCAATAATTTCCATTATACGCATATCAAGTTTTTCATGTATTGCCAGATTAAAATCTTAAATGACTACATCCACCACACGAGAACATGTCTCTATATAATCAATGCCAGGATATTTACAAATATTCTTGTGACACAAGTCGTCTTTATGTCTATCGACTTGATCTTTTTCGCACAAGAACACATTTACCTCCACTGGATTTATACTTTCAGGTGTTGGGACTCCGTCCAACTTTATATTTTTCAAGTGAAGTCAATTTTTATTGAGTATTTTTCATTTGACCAATCATTTATCTGTCCAAATTTCATGACAGATTTGAGCTCAAGATCCTCGTCAATATTAATAATATTGAGCGCTACATTATGTTAACAATATCGTCGACGATCATTTTATATCGGTTCAATTATTATACAATAAATACATAACTTATTGAGATCTATTTATCTCATTATTTTTTAGGTACCTGAGCCTCTCACATGAGATTTTACGAAGTGTTATGTCGTGGTATTCTTCTAAAGCACTTGCCTCCTTATTATGACCATTTTGAATATTTGCCCTTCTCCTTCTTCAAGGAGTTTTATCTTTGGAACTGATTGGTCTGTTATGCTTCATGCGTACCATAGACTCTGTCCCTTATGGACTTTATTCTATTTGGAGCATTAACAGCTGAAATATAACATTTAGCTTTGGGTCAGCAAATGCGTCTGGCAATAATTTGTAAATGAATTATCACTTGAACTTCAAGTTCATATTTTCTTGTGCGAGGATCTATATGTATTCATAATAATTCATTTCACGTATCACTTTCTTAGCTGCCCATTTTCTCCCCCTAATGTTGGAATCACCAACACATTTCCCAACCATCTTTGGGAACTCATCTTTGTGCATTTTGGNCTATATTTCTATATAGAAATTATTTGTTTCCTGACCCTGAACCGATTGTAATAGGGAGAATTTTTTTTATTAACTTGGCTAGATGTGTACAAGTGCTGTTGTATATTAAATAATACATCTCATACCAAATTTCGTTTTTGGGAGTTTTGTTCTCATAACCAATGATTTAGCTATAATTGGAGGCATACAATTTCTGCTAAACCAACTTGGATTTAAACCAGTATTATTAAGATAAATCGTTATAATTTATATTCTGGAACTGTGCTCTAATAGCTTGAGCAAGCAATCTTGCAAAAGCCAAACTGCAAGTTGATAACAAATGCACATGTGACCAGATAATAGATGCATCTATTAAAATCATATAATAGTAAACGGTCCACATGGCAGGTGACTGGGCCATATATTTATCACCTTTTAATTGTTCTAGAAATCAAGGGATTCAATCCCAACCTTAACTGGTATATTATGAGAATAAGCAGCACAAGATATTTCTTGAAGAATCTTTCTATTCTTCAATATATGCCAATGTAATTCTCAATTAATTTTTCGCATCATAATTGAACCAGGATGGTCAACCGGTTATGCCAACTAATATTTGTTTTAGTAAACCTCTAGTTTACTTGTGGCATATTATTCCATCATCATGCTTTTATTTGTGTAGTACAAATAGAAAGAAAATCGGGTAACCTTTCATATTTACCCGGTATGATTATAGAAATATGAAGATATTCAATCTTCCTTTCATTTATAGTCTCAATATGCCAACCACTTTGACTTATACATTTGAAACTCAAAAAAGTTTCTTTTGAGACTTTACAATATCAATATCATGAATAATTTTATTCATCTGGGTAGTAACAAATTAGTTTTTCCGGAGCTCTTAATAACTTTTGTACTACAAGATATTTTATCATACAATTCATATGGTAAATGTATCTTTCACGGAGAAACTTATATCATAATAAATTGTCATGGTCAAAATCATCATAAGCAAAATCATTTCTTGCTTTAATTTTGCCTTTAATAACTTTTATAAGGCATGACAAAATAATATTTGGCGTATCACATGTACGCGACCAATGACATATTCATGTAACCACACAATAATACTTATTCTCTTTATTCATCATTATATCATCAGTATGGTACAATGGGACACAAAACTCAATGTCTTACCTCTATAAAGGCATGTTAGGCCTTAATAAATTGGGATCCAAAATTAACTCTTATTATTATGGAGCATCAGGACTTGATCCCAATGTCTTACCCTCAATCAATGGTATAATAGGCTAAACAATATTTAGAGTCACTCTCAAGCCTTAATTTTAATAACATGCCAAGAAAGTTGTAAACAACTAATTTGCAACTTAGCAAATCACATTTGCTTTCTTAGATAAGTGGACAAATCTCAAATCAGCGTAAAGCTTTATTAATTATTTGTAGCATCTGTATGAAATACAATTGTTTGTAGTCAGAACATTTCTTCTAAATTTTATTAGAGTTTAAATGGATCATAAAATCATTGTCATAATATGCCAAAGTGCAGTATGACTCACCCTTGAGCCTTTATGAAAAATATCAATTATCAATCTTGTGGTCATCAGTAGAAGCGGGATTAGTTATAAGTATATAATCACTTCTACAAGTCATGTATATCATGAAACTTTGCTATAATTCAATTGTTATTTACTAATGCAAGATTTTCAATTTTAAATAACTATTATATAATAAATTTTAGGTAGTGATAAACCATCAGCAAAGTAGTAACAACCATATAGAAATCGATTAAGAAATTATTATGATCCATTGACAATTAAATCTCATAATTAAGCATTGACATCTGTCAGTTACCACTTTCCAAATAAATGAATCTTAAAATCCTCTTTTCTAAAAGAGAGAGAGAGACATCTTCAAAATTATCAATATATTTATAGGCTGCAAATTTACATCCAATAACTTGTAATAAATCATGATAGTGTTTGATAAATATTATAGAACACATTAAAAAAACACTAAGTGTTTACATGATATATTAGTAGCCAAATTAAAAATGTATGCATGTTCAGTATTTATTGAATAAGTCAACACACTTGATCAAGCTATTTCAATTACACAAAGACTAAAATAGTTTAAAGTGATCAGAGAGGTTCAAAAGAAATCCAAATTGATGAAAAATTCAAACAAAAATTAAAGTACTTAAAAAAAACTGAATATTCAAACCATAGTAAGCAAGTTCTGTTTTGAAAGCTTACATATGAAAAGCTTAGCTATTATTAAAAATCAATGTAACTAAGAATATTATTAATAAATGATGATATAAGAGTTCCAAAGCGGACCACATATACTTGTTAGGCTAAGAAGATTAAGTGAAGGAAACATATCTCACATATTTTACAGAGAAGAATCACATCCTTGAAAGCTTTGGAAAATTTTCAAGTTCAATAAATGAAAATTAGTAAACCATAAACTTACATATGTTTCTTCTTGATTCAACCCGCTTATTTTCTGATTTTAGGTATTCAATATTTTGTAGTTCAACGATGAACTTGGTTATCTTCATACTTAAAGATGATGGCTGAAATAAAAATTAGAGCTTCGTGCTGATAACGTGTTATAAAATAAAAGCAATTTAGTAAAACATGAACAAGAAATATAGATAGAGAGAAGGAAGAGATTTTCTTCTTCAATTGTGTGTATCTTTCCATTGCAATTACATAGCCTTTTATAGGCATAAAGAAAAAAGATGATGGACATAAAGTAGGAGATTTAATCTTTAAGCTATTTACAACATGGGCATCCAATGTAGCATCCAATGTACAAACTATTCATAACACTTTAGTATTACATATGATTTATTGTCAATTTACGTCACAAAGCATCTTTATAGGCCGCTCGTTGACCTATCAAAGTCTTCTAAAAAGGTTTTTCTTTGCTGGATATTAATTGGTTTTGCAGTTATAGGCACAACCTTCTGGTCTCAACTTTTTTTATTATTATTTTATTTTTAAAACGCCTCACAAATTAGGAGGATCTATAGTGTTTTCACACTTTCCCTCCAGCGTGACTCGAAAGGAGGTGCTTTTACCAACTGAGCAACGAAAGGAGGTGCTTTTACCAACTGAGGAAAGCCTCACTTGTCTAGCCTCAACATTGAAACAACCCAAGACAGGAAAGGACAAAGCGAGTTGATTGCAGTAGGCTAATAACTAACATAAAAATGAACCATCCGATACTATATAGAGACCTTAATAATGCAGAGATGACTCAGAACTTGGGATTTAAGCGTGGTGAATACGTCTTGCTTTCAAACAACAATGGAGAATTTTTTCCGTTAACCACGAGTAGAAGTAATACACCTCGTACGAGAGAGAAAGAGAGAGAGAGAGACTACACATCAAAAATTAAAGATTATCCAACAACAAAAGGAGAAGCTGCAATTTCCTGGTCCAATATACACTAAACTTCATCACTGTTCCATAGTTGTACTACAAATCAGACAGTATGCTGTGCGTGGCTAAAGTAACAATATTCTAAGTCACAATCAACTCTTTGTACAAGATCTCTACTGAAATCTATCATGTTTGAATTATTCTCCAAGAAAACCTCAACCAACAATACCAGATAATCCTAATATCCTAAACAATTTGAGCGGCATATACAAAACCTACTGTTGTGTATTTGTTTGATCGAATCTGCAGTGAGAACATCAACAATGAGTCAATTACATTGAACCATCATAACCAAAAGAAGGGGAAAGAATTTAGACAATAGAGCAAATAGAAATCACCATCCTCCAACGCACAACTACCAAGATGTGTTCCAATTGTAGTTCCAATTGTACTGTACAATTTCAGCAAAGTCAATTTAAACACACCTCTAAATTACTTTGACGATCTTTTTATTCATTCAATTGAATAAATTCAAAAACATTATCTGATAATTAATTAACATATGCTAATCTACAAAGTGGTTACTAGACCAACTATGTTGTATAGGGCAGAGTGTTGGTTAGTCAAGTACTCAGAAGATAAACGTAGCAAAAATGAGGATGTTGAGATGGATGTGCGAGCATACCAAGATTGATAGGACTAGGAATGAAGATATTCAGGCCAGGGTGGGAGTGGCTTTGGTGGAGTACAAGATGCAAGAAGCGAACGATTAGATGGTTTGGAGGAGCGCAGATGTCCCGGTAAGGAGGTGCGAGAGGTTGACCTTGGTGGTTTGAGGAGAGGTAGAGGTAGGCCAAATAATTATAGGGGAGAGGTCATTAGGCAGGGTATGGTGTTGCTTCATCTTACCGAGGACATCACCCTTGATAGGGAGGTATGAAGGTCGAGAATTAAGGTAAAAGGCTAGTACGTAGTCAAGAGTATTTCTTCCCATACCAGTAGTATTAGTGTTAGTCTGGTGTTCTATAATTGTGAGATTTCTATTACTGCGTGTTGTTCCTTTTGCTTCATTTTTTTATTATCTTGTTGTTAATGCTTGTGCTCCTGCTTTCTTTTCATCTTTCCTCGAGTCGGGGGTCTATTGGAAACAACCTCTCTACCTTCAAGGTATGGGTAAGGTCTGCGTACACACTACCCTCCCCAAACCCACTTGTGGGATTATACTGAATTTTTTGTTGTTGTTGTTATGCTAATCTACTTATTACAGATATGAAACACAATTATTTATACTCTCATGATTCTTTTTTCTTCCTTTTTACTCGTCCAATTTTTTCAAAAATCTATGTAGATAGGTCCATTATTTCTATTATTTTAGTCTGTGAATCCTCGAAAAAGGAAAAAAGAATCATATAAACTTACACTAAACAAATAATAACAAGACTTCCATAGCAAGCACACATCATCCAACTGGGATTAGTTTTAGGACCTTCTAGTTGATGAAAAGATGCTTGCTAACTCAACCAACCTCCTAGGATTCTTGACTTTTTGAGTTATTTGTTTGAATACTTGGTGAAAGGCAAACCGTTACACCTGATTTTGACTTGTGGAAGCTGGAAAATTATTTTTCAAAGAAACATCAATTGGCCCCATGGCATAAAAACCAGACCTACTTCGAGCAATACTAAGTTACCAAAACAAAGTCCTCCTCGAAGGAGAACAGAGAAAGATGAAGAAAGAACAATATAATTTTCGTAGTATTTTTTCCAAGCTGAGAACAAAGTCTTCCCGTATGGGATGTTCTAGCTGAATGTATATGATACTCTCTTCACTTTGGGATGTTCTAAATATTTAACATAATTACTGTAATACAACAACTTCAAGATTTCAATTCACTTACCTAGTTTTTCTCCCTATCAACTTACTACAACAACAACAACAACATACCTGGTGCATTCCCAGAGTGTGAGGTCTAGGGAGGAATGTGTACACAGACCTTATCCCTACCTTGTGGAGGTAGAGAGGTTGTTTCGTATAGACCCTTGGCTCAAGAAAAGCATTTCTCAGCACGTTCGAACAAGAATCCTATCAACTTACTACCTAATCAAATTTCAAAAATTCATCCCCCTCCTTCTCATTCAATCAATTAAATATGCCTCAACTCCAAACTAGTTTGGGTCTCTATAACCATTATGCTATTTTTCGGCACATCAAACTCAAGATTAAATAATTTGTTTGTTAAGACAAATAAGAAATTTTTTGTAAAACCAGACGTTCAGTTCTCTAATACTCACACGTATTTCTAGACTGACATACAAGATCCTACCAAACCAAAAAGAATTATATGCAATTGTGTATTATTCTTAATTAGTTCTATATAGATTCCAAGAAATTCTAAGACTTTTGAGATAACTTCACTCCCATGTGATATTTGACTTATTTGATACATAGTTAGCGCCTTCCATAATCATAATGTCACGCCTATTAACCGACACATGAAGATCCACACAGGACATGGCTAACTATCTCAAATGACGATCTCTAGCTTAATCTTCTATATGTGATACGTGCACCATAAATCAAAATTAATATCTTAGACTTCATGTCCACTCAAAATCATCATATAAAATGGAATCAGAGTAACAATAATATGATCACCAGAGCCTTTCATGTCTAATGAATTTTTATGAGACGGGAGAAGTACCTAAACAACCAATCTCTAGCGAAACCATTGTATCTCAAGTATTCTGATGCATTGCAATAAGAGTAAATACTGCAAATTTAATGGATTTTATAATATGGAGAAAGTACCTATACACAATCAATCTCCAGTGAAACCATTGTATCTCAAGTATTCTGATGCATTGCAATAAGAGTAAATACTGCAAATTTAATGGATTTTATAATATGGAGAAAGTACCTATACACAATCAATCTCCAGTGAAACCATTGTATCTCAAGTTTTCTGATGCATTGGTTAATCTCTCAATGCCTCCTGAAAGTCAAGACACAAAGTTGGTTATCGAATGAGAATAACAAAAAGCACAAAAGTCTTGCCTTGGTTCTGTACCCTACCATTTGAATCAAGCAAGTTGTCTGTATCTGTTGCTAGAAAGGGAGTCCTAGCATAGCTCTCCAGTATATCTGAACATGGTCAAAATGGATGTAAAGCATGCATAATTAGCATCATACCAGCTCATCTGAATGCCTAAGACTTTGAAAATGGAAAAGCAAAGAATCCAGAGATGATCGGTGAAATTACAGAGAGAACGGCTAGAGGAAGACATATACCAGAACTATTAGTGAAATCAGCAGTCAAGTCTGAGAAACCAAAATTTTGAGGTATTTCCCCTAAAAATCCAAATGAAGTGGTGTCAGCATCCAGAAGAGGTTCAGTAAGGGGCTGCGTGTTCGACTCCACACTACTAAATGACGAAACAGATGCATCGCCCATTGCAGCACGTGACTCCAAGTAACTGCTATGAGGACCAAAGGCAAACGGAGAATTGCCACCATAAACAGGTTCTGTCTTAATAATCCTCCCATCCAATGTTTGTCTCATCCCCATATTAGAGTGCTGGCCCAAAAACACATCAGGAGGAACATCAATTTTCCTGCTATGGGCAGGAATATCAGTTGCTGTTTGCATGCAAGAGAGAACAGACGAGCTGCAATTACTGAATGCATTGTGTCTATCTGCATGTATAGGCTCATGCATGCCATTAGGCTTTGCAGCAGTTCCAACATTTTCTGCAGGATGGCAAGTTGAGTTTTGATGCACTGCAGTAAGGCAAGCAAACATAACATTAAGTAGAGACAACAACACAGCTTCCTAAATGCAGGTTTTAGCAAGAACACAGATAAAATAAAGCACATAGAGGGCATTGACTTAAGGATAAGTCTGGACAAGATATTTAGTGGCTGACTCCAAACCGAACACAGTACTCTTCATGCTTGTTGCAGATAAGATCACACAAACTAAAAGCAAATGGCTCATCAAATTTTACACGTTAATTTCAAAATATAGAAAACTAGTTGATTCAATGGATTAAAATAAGAAATTAATAAGCTAAAAAAATTCAGATGCTACATGCTAAACGATTTTTTCCAAGCCAAATATCCGTGCTTGGTGAATTAGGGCTACTATTTACCAGGAAAAAGCTCGTCTCTAGACACAAGCTTAAAGATAAAGAAGTAGGATTGGGAACAATTTCTCCCAAGTTTGGGAAGTATAAATTATAAGTTTCTCCTCCAACAAATGAACTCAATATACGCACACTACATATTCTTTAACCTCGACATAATCAGCAACATTCACCCCTATACTATCTACTTCACATCTTGGGGAAACCTGCTCACAACACTTAAAGAAGTCAATACTTAAAGATTAAGACACTGTAAAGCTCATTGACAAAGAGTGCCACAAATGAATCTCTTGATTGGGAAGCTGAGAAGAGCTCAGAGCATCTGAAAATCAAAAACCTAATGCAGGACAAGAAAATCAGAGCAATCTTGTCTTGTTTTTTTTTTAAATGGGATTAGGAACATTCAGATCTATCCTTAGAAAGGAAACTCTACATTCCTGAGTTCACCCTAACCTTGTTAAAGAAAAAAGAAGAGGAAAGAACTATGTTGAAGACTTAATTATAATAGAATACAAAATACACCTACTTAAGGTGCCAAACCCAAGACTCGTGATATTTGTTCCACGTGGCATAATATCCAACTAATAGCATAACTCTGCTAACACTATTCTAATACTAATACTTATCATTCTAACATGCCCCCTAAACTCAAAATGGGGAAAACATCTTGAGTTTGTCTATTTGCAAACATGCAAACTAAATAACGCCAGAAACGACTAAAAAAGCTGGATGAAACAGCTCTGGTCGCTGTAATCTCGCTGCAAAAGTTGTTGCTGAAACAATGGCTAGAAAGGTGCAAAAGCAAGAAATGTCCAGCAGATAGAAACACGGCGCCCTTGCAATGGTTATGCTGAAATGACATGGCCTACCGGAACAGTCACCATATAGAGGTGCCGCATCGCCAGAACATTCACTTGGAAAAAGGTGCAGTGATTCAAATGGTTGCCAGAAAGGAACACATTGCTGCCTAAATAGGCAAGATGCCGCCAGAGCCGTTGCAGGAAGAAACGGTTGAAGCAGAGAGGAGTGATGTTAAGGAGAGAAGGATGCTGGTCACTGGAGAGATGAGTTGTGCGATTGCTGGAGTGAAGAGTGGTGCTGGAGACGATTGCTGCAAAAAGAAAGAAAAGTATTTCTGGGTGGGAAGTCTTAGACGAGCTACTCGAATCTCTACAAGATCATAGAGGCTTTGATACCATGTGAAAAAATAAAGAATAAAAATAGATATTGAAGACTTAATGATAATGGAATATAAGACACCTATTAATTGGTGTCAAATACAAGACTTGCTTGATATTTGTACCATGTGGGACAATATCTAATTAATAATCTCTCTCTTCAACGCTATTCTAATGCTTACACTTGACATATGGCATACTTATGAACACTTGTACATGTGGGAACAGATTAGAGACGAAACCACTATATGCATAGCTTTTTCAACAACGAAAATAAAAACAAAGAATGACAATTTCATATTTGGATCCTCCGTCTAAAACAAAAAGAGTGCTAACTTTTATGAGTTCTTACAGCATAAGATAAAATGGTTCTTGCTGGCTTTACCAATATCAATATACTTGCCCCTTCCCCAATACAACCCTCCCGGAGGACACATTAACCACAACAGGGATTAGAAAATAATCAACCAAGAAAAAAAAATTTAGGCGTCGGTCAGACAGAAGCTTCTAAGAGTGTCTTACTGGGAATTAAGGAAGTGCAAATACTTTTTTTTAGGGGGGGTGAGGGGGGGGGGGGGGTGTTGTTTGTAACATCGCAGATCATAAAGCCAGATATATAGGATATTAGACATGTTTAAGCAAAAATAATAGGAGTAATGTCAGGAAAGAGATGCATCAAATACTCTCATCAACATATCAATAATGAATCACGTATGTTGAAAGCCAATGTTCTACAATGGCGGTGCATAGTTTAAAAATCTGCAAATAACACTTAATGTAGCGGGTGATGCATCAGACGCTGGAAAGAAATTTTAAATTCGGAGGAGGCAAATGCAAGAGGCTATCAGAAAGAAAGGAGCAGAAGGTTACGGTATAACTCCTCGTAGTAAGACAAATGAAGTATATATCTATATAAAGAAGGATTTATCAAAATACCTATAAAGAAGGATAAAACTAGAGGCTTATAGATGTGTTCAGGCATTGGCAGAAATTGAGCGTAAATGAGGGCAACTTCATCAGCAGCATCCAATCATAATGAGCGAACACAGGCTTCGATTGCAGACCTAATGGAAGAGTCTGCCAACCAATTACATTTAAGTGCAGCTATAGTGTATGATGTGCTTTGAGGTAAAGTCATATGGTTAAAAAGTTATACACCACTTTGGTATATGCACAAACTGAGCATGAATTGAGCCAGTTAGAAGACTGCTTCTAGAGCTACTCAGTGACAAGATACTGATTGATGCATGACAACTAAAATGCAGAAAGCTTCACTAAATATCTATCTTACATGGGGAAATATTACACCCATTGGACATAGGTAGAGAAGCAATTGCACTTGGAACTTGCTGCGTCATCTTCACCTGTTCTGCAAGCAACCTATTGAACTCAATTATTTGCTCTTTCACCATCAGCTTCAGGTAATATGCTTGAAAAAACTCCTGATTTTCTTCTTCTAGTTTCTGCCAAACTGGAAAACAGGGAGAACATCATCATGCTAAAGAGTTAAGAGACTAGAATCACATAAAAGATTTGAATTGCTACATGCATAAAAGCAATACTGAAACAAAGACACAAAAATAAACAGCACAGAGAATAGTTAGTAAGTATATTTGTATGCTATAAAAAACAGCTCATTAGAGGCATTAGTAGCTTCACATTAGTATTAATATCATCTTTTCACATACCATCTTCTTGATAATATGCCTGCTAGAGCTGCAAGTGTTCATGAGTACATTCATAAATAGAGGACAGCACAAAAATCTCTCTGATTGCTTCTCGAATGACACAGGTATATAGTACATGTAGCAGCTTTACACCCACTGATGAGTTCAAATGATTAAAAGTAGCCTAGTTGACAGAAGTGTCAGAGAATTCTGTAAAAATTCCACAATATGCTATCAAATATGATGCAGATAAGCTAACCCCTACTGTGCAGGGTTCCCAATCTTTTCCAGTTACCAAAAGGTCAATACTCAGGGTTACCCCAAACAAGAAATTCAGCTCTGTGACACATCCATCCATGCCCCCCTGTATTGCTTTCTAGAAGATATAATTGTGAAAAAATAGTTAATCTTATGTTACTTCACTACTGGCTGTTATGCAGTTCCTCTTGCCTATTAACCAAACGCAAATGAAAAAATAGAAATGAGAAACTATAACATATGGTTGGATAACATAGAAATTCGTCCACGGATAAAAATGCAACAATCTATTGTTAAGTTGCACAAGATACTAATCTTTTGCTTGATCTTTTCCCAAAATGGATGCCAATTGGTAAGAACCAATTCCTTATGAGCCGCAGAAGTTTGATCTAGGAAGCTATCTCTTTCTTATAGGCCAAGGAAGTTTGATCTAGGAAGCTCTCAATTCCAGTCACTCGCTTAAACAATTGTTAACACAAGGTTTAATGAAGATATTTAAATCCTGACTCTATTCCACTTTTCTGACTCTTTTAATTTTGGATGTTCCAAAATATTTGACACCATTTCATTTTTATGCAGCTTTCACAACTTTCAAGAATTCAATCATATTAAACTATTCAACTTTTAAACTTTGATGTGACATTTTATCTATCAAACTAATTTCTCAACCAATACTTTAATATTTTTCTTCCACTCTCAATACACAAGTCAAACTAATATCTTAAAATGTGCCCAATCAAGCACCAAAAAATAAAATTAATACAGAGAGAGTTTAAGGTATGACTCAGATTGCTTCTACCTTTAAATCCTTAGAACAACTACCTCTGTAGCCGTGTTTAGCAAAAAGTCATTACTTATTTGAGTTCTAAGAATTTAAAGAATGAATCCATAATTAAGGGGGAAAAGAAGCAATGACACTAGTGTTGGAGGTTAGCTGGCCCTGCTCAAGGATATTTACATACTCATGCATTCATACACTTGTTTTCCTCAGACACTTGTTAAACACAAAGGAAGCATTCCGCTGTAAAATTAGAGATAAAAAATAGACAACAACACAGGACAGCTAAAAAAAAGGCACTCAAACAGAGGTGGTCATTCAACTAGTAAAATATAAAGCTTATAACAAGCAGTAATAAACTCGACTGTCACAGCACGAAAAGGTGATTTTTGGTTAAAAATGCATAGAACATCAGCATGTGTGAAAGAGCTAAAAAGACATGGGCAGAAGAAACTCTTTTTCTATAAGTTATGATTGACACTTTCCATGTATATTGTATTTTTTGATAATGTATCTAGTATTTTCAAGAAGTATGAGGAATACTAGCAGCCACTATTAACCATAGGGAGCTTTCTGATCCTTATTCAAATCTCTTTCGGACTATCTGTGTTGTATGAATTCTTAGGTTCATCCTCATTTGACAACACATGGAGGAAGTGAGTTATGCCTTGAAAAATATATAACATACCGAGTTCAGTAAATCTAGGCTCTATGTTGTCCTGGATGAAGAGAGTGTTCACAACTTCTTTTCGACTCATGTATTGCCGTAGACACTGCTCTATCCGATTTTGCACCTGAAACTCAAAACAACCATCAGCTTTTTCACGTGTCATTGCGCACATCGCATGATTATTCAATTTAGAACAGCTGGTGATTGTGAAAACTCAACTAACTAGGATACCCAAGCTTTCTTTTTGGTTTGGTTTTATTTGGAGAGTGAGGGGGTTAAGCTTCAGAGAATAATATTAAAATGCAACACTAGATTATGCAGTGTTGGTTGAAGTATACGTCATTAATGATAACATTCCATAAAGGGACAACTGAAATAATAATTAAAAATAAAACTATTTCTCCTTCAACCAATGAACTAAATCGCTCTTTGTCCCCAAAAAGATGCTATTAGTTGTTAAATATTGATAAGGAGACAGGCTCAAGGATTTTATTAGTTGTAATTATCTTCATATACATCATCAACGAGCCAGCAAAACATTCTTCCATGTTAATGGGGAAGAGGAACCACGAACAAGTTCTTGTGTTTTAGAGAAGTAATAATAAAGTAATTAGAATCATCACAATTGTTTCTTACCTTTTCGACAATTGTGTTTCTTAAAGAATGATTACAACCGAGAATAAGACTAAGCAAAGAGACAAAGTAACAGTAGGAGATCACAACTCATCTACAGAAAGATTGAAAGCATACCATTTGTATATCTTCACAAGAGACTTTTCTTCCATCTCCGCTCGACATTTTTGAGGCTCCAACACTTGGAACTATTGCAATAAAGTTCTATGCCAATATTTCAGTAGAAGTGTACACCCAGCTTATGCGCACCATCAATGAGTATATTGTAAAAGGTGGTCACTTACACCTACTGTCCAGCTTCATTAAAAAATATTTACTATTAGCAAATCACATATCAAGGCTCAATAAGAGAAATTTATATGAGGATGCAGGGGTCGACAAGATTCACCAAGGCATTCAAGTTAATGTCCCTGCAGCAACAGGTCATTGGAAAAGGGAAGAGAGGGCTATGTATAAGTCGTGATGACTTAAATGATGACAAGTACAATAAAAAACAAACAAAAAGAATGTGGAGTGATATGAGAGGATCTTCGGTGTCCTTATTGCCAGCAAGGATGAAGCTCAACTAATATCTTACAACAACAACAACAACAACAAGAAAAAAACAGTGTAATATCACATAGTGGAGTTTGGGGAGGGTAGTGTGTACGCAGCCCTTACCCCTACTCGTGGAGATAGAGAGGCTATTTCCAATAACTAATATCTTACGAGTCAGTAGAAAATTGACCTATTGGGAAAGGATGAATATATATAACTGCAAACGAATACAATCCATCCCATCCCTAGTAACAAAGTAAACCTCCAGACACAATCCTACCTTAAGGTTTTCGGTGATGCAATTTGTAGCCAAATAGTCTCCGCGATATAACAAAAGCTAACATACAGTTACACGAAAATAAGGTCATTGCAAAAATGCATCAAGAACTTTATCTCGAACTTCTTTCCTCCTGAAATTCCACTTAGTCCACTATTCTTCTACTTCCAAGAAACCTTACAATTCTTGAGCTACAAAGCGAAATGACCCAGATAGTAAAATTAACCATAAAGAACTACATCTCTGCATACATAATACAACCAACAACATACACACGTAGTATAAAACCACATTATGGTCATATCCAACTTCCTATAACTTCACAAGTGGACAATTTAGCGCAGAGGGGTTGAAAAATCAAAACACAAAAAGAATAAATTAGTCGTCTTTCTGTATATGCACACACTAAATATAAAACCACTCCATGGTCATACGCCAACTCCATATCACGATCATCACAATTAAAAACACAATAACTCCACAAAAATACACAAAACCCAGAAATCTTAAAGACAAAAAGAAACAGAGATCAATTGAATACATAATAGTATCAAGATTCAAGAACCAACTTGAAAATGCATCAATATAAATAAATACAAAAAAAAAAATAGAACTTACCTACTTGAGAGCGTAAATATTCAGAAATTGAGAGAAAGTGTTTGAGCAAAGGAGTCTGAATGAAGAGTTGTAAGTATAATAATATAATAAGAGCTAAGTGTTATTTGATTCAAAAGAGGAGTCTTTTTATTGAAGAAAGGGAAAGGTAAGAGACTGATGACGTGGCTATTTCGCCATTGCATGACCTCCTTTCTGCTTTTCCCTCGTGTAATTCCACTCTCATTTTTTTATCCTTTTCTTTAATTATTATTATTATTGGAGCTTTTTGGAAATTTTTGACTGCTTTTATTTCTTGATGGGCTAAAAATGGAAAATACATAGGAGTACTTCTTTTCATATTAGTTTTAACTAGTATTAGCACCCGCGCAGATGCGCGGATACTAACCATGTTATTTGGTTTATGGCAAACCAATCAAAGGTTGAGACTATGAAGGACTCTTTGGATACGACTTGACTCTTTTACTGTTACTTGAACTCTTATTTGGTGTGTTGATATATTCTAAAATTATTTCTATTTTAAATTTTCAGTTTCTAAAACTTTATTTTTAAATAATAATTATTTTTATAACAATATAAGTAAAAATATTATCCTTAATTCAAAACTCATTTTAATCGGCTATCTAAAATTTAAAAAATTCTTTAGCGAGTGATTTTCTTTCTAGCATGACTCCATTTTGATATTTGATATTAACCATGTGAAATATGTGAGTTATTTGAATTATATGTAAATAACCTTAAAATTTAAACCTTCTAGGTAACTATAGATAATTGTTAGATATTGTTTATGGAACACTACATGAAAAAAGGCTAACATTTTCTCAAATCACATAGCGATAATTTTATTTTTGCACCATTCTTATTGGTGTCATTGAAACCTAAAAATAGTCACAAAGCAAAATAATAACTCGTATTTATGAGCTCTGGCAAAGCACAAAGGTTGGCACAATATGAACGATTC